TTCTGTGCAACCTGGATTTTGTTCCTGTGGGTCTGAGCGCACGATTCCCACACCGGGGCGGCATAGAAGATCGCGGGGGCTATGATCTGTTTGTAAACAGCCAGTTTGTTTTGCCTTGAGAGGCGGGATCTGCGGCAAATGAGCGGATACAAACACCTAACCAAGGCGGAGCACTTAACTAGGGTTTTCTCTATGTGCGAGCGGAACAGGAGCTTCTCATCGAACAACATCCCGAGATAAGTAACATCAGTGGACCACTCGACCCTTGTACCATCCATTATTACGGTACAGGAGGGAGACGGTTTAAGTTTTGGTGATTGTCTGTGAAGGAACATGATCGCTTGGGTTTTCGAGGCGTTGATTTTGATTTTCCACGTGGTGGCATAATCAGTAAAGGTGTCAAGGCATCGTTGGAGCTTGTTCGTAATTTCACGAGGCATCCTACCCTTGACGGCTATCGCGGTGTCATCTGCGAACAGGAAGAACACGCAACCGTCTCCTAGAGGAGGGATGTCCGACGTGTAGATGCTGTAAAGCAGTGGTCCCAGCAGACTCCCTTGCGGAACACCTGCTGGGATCGGAAATTTTCCCGAAAGAGAACTATTCAACGACACACTGAACGACTTTTGCTGGAGATATTTACGGGTGGTTTTCACAAGGTATGGTGAAAAGTTGGAGTTACAAAGCTTGTAAATAAGTCCGTCGTGCCAGACATTGTCAAACGCCTTTTCGACGTCTAACAAGGCCATGGCTGTGGACTTGGATACAGCTTTGTTACTTCGGATGTTATTCATCACCCGCACTAGCTGATGATTGGTGGAATGCCCCTTGCGGAACCCGAACTGTTCCGGAAGAAGAATGTCATGTTCCTCCACAAACTTGTTTAGTCGGCTGAGGATCAATTTTTCGAACAGCTTGCTCAGCGCTGAGAACAGGCAAGTAGTGCAGCTCCAAGCATCTGTTGAGGATGGCAGCCAGCAGCGAGTGCACCCTCGGGCTGAGATTTTTCAACTCTAGGTTGAATATTCCGTCAAACCCGGGAGCCTTCATGTTCTTACTGTATTTCAGCGCTGAGCAAATTTGTTCCTCTGTAATACGTTCTTCTGGAGGGACGGCACAAGGGGAGGCATCTAACGTCTGGACGCACTGCGCAACCTGGTTCTCGAGTGGACTTGGGATTTTGGAGCCAAGCAAATGCGACTGGGCAATGTGCTCCCCAATTGCATTGGCCTTCTCTTCGTTGGTGATAAGCCGTTCGTCATTGACTCTAAGTGGTGGAATGGGCTTGGGGTGAGACTTCAGCACCTTGGCAACCTTCCAGAATGGTCTGGAACGGTCGTCAAGGTTCTGAACGAGCCGCCCGAAGCTCTCGTTCCGGATTGAGACCATTCTGGAAGCGATCTGCCGATTCAGATCGAGCATTTCGTTTTTTCGCTGCTGATCCCCAGTCCGCTGAAACTGGCGTCTACGAACATTTCTGATGTGGCGGTCGACCACGCGCCGAAACTGGACCCAGTTGACTCGATGGTAGTCCTTCCGGAGGCACGGCGCAGGGGCCACGTTGCAGCCCAGCTCGATCAGCACCGGTTGGTGGTCCGAACTCAGGTCGTCGACGGCAACCGGCTTGGCTAATCCGTGGCAAGGTCGTTCTTGAACTGCTGTGCTGTACCATTGCTAACGGTACATTGCCGGAGGCAGTAGGTGGCGATGAACCGGACGTTTTCGGTCGATGTTTTCGCCTCTACGCCGACGGCCTCGATGATGGAAGTGCGGTAGTGGGGTAGGGTGCAGTATTTGATGCCTTTCTTGATGATGACCGCGACACCGCCCCCCCCCCCCCCCTGGAGCTGGTGTGATCAAGCCGGACAATGCTGTGGTCGGGCAGCCAGAAGCTGTCACCGGTCTTGAGGTGGGTCTCTGTGAGAAGGCCCACGTCGATGTCGTGCTTGCGGAGGAAGTCTGCAAGCTCAATGTTTTTCGCCCCTACGGAGCGAGCGTTCCAGTTGGCGATCTTTATGGTTTCACGGTCCATAATTAGCGACGAAGGAGATGATAGCTTGAAGCTGTTGTGTTCTTGTAGCGCAGGTGCGCTTGATGATGATGGCCTGGGCCAACAGTGTGACGATCTCATCCGTTGACAGCGGAGAATCGTCTGTAGCTTCACCGGTTGTAGGCTTGACCGGGTACTGCAGCGGCAGCCGACTGGGCAGCAGCCAACTGTTGGTTGATCGGGAGCGGAGGAAAGTTCTGCGCGTTGTTTTCCGGAACCTTCTTGCGACCGGGCTGGCTGTTGGACGAGGCCTTCTTCCGGATCTCGGCGTATTCGGCCCGCTTCGGACAGGCCTTACTCGTGGCCATGTGGGCGGCACCGCAGTTGGCGCATGTGGGAGCGGCTTCCTCGATGCTGTCGCAGTTGTCGATCTTGTGGTTTTTGCCGCATTTGATGCAGCGGCTGGCCATGCGGCAGTTCCTGGTGCCGTGCCCGAACAATAGGCAGTTCGAGCACTGAGTGACGCCACGGCGTGTCGGCTTATACCGCTCCCACTTCACTACGATGTGGAACAGTGTGCGTGTCGTCTGGAGATCCTTCACGGTTGTTGAGTTCTTCTCCAGATGGACCAGGTACAGCTGGTCACGATACTTGATGGCCTTGCTGTGGGTCATCTTGTGGATTTCGACCGGCTTGAGGCCGTTCACCTTAATCTCGTCCATTAAGGTGGTGGTGTCCATGTCGTGGAGCCCGCGCAGCACCACTTTCAGCGGCTTGGTGGCCTCGACGTCGTGGGAGAAATACTCCAGCTTCATCCTGTCCAAGAGGGCCTGAACTGTGTTGTAGTGTTTTTCGGCCGGGACCATCAGTTTGTAGCCTTACGTGCACCGTTGAATGGTGCAGCGAAGGCCCTGCTTAATGTAGAAATCCAGCTGCTCCCATAGCCCGGGAGGGAAGCCCTTCACATAGAAGGGTGGCAACTTCACTTTTTTCGGCACCGTCTCAGGGTCCGACTGCGGCTGGGCTCCGTTCTGCAGGGCGGAGAACGGATTGTTGCTCAGCAGCTTTTTTGCTGCCGATGCGGTGGCGCTGCTGTCTTCAGGTCTAGGTCGTTTAGTTCCGGGAGGCCCCTGCTGCGGGTCCGCAAAGCCCGTCGGGACGGGCAATGGGGTTTTCTTCTGCTTCTTCTGGGCTGGCTCGGTGGTCGCGCCGTCTCCTGGGAGAGGCTGTTTTCCTGGTAAACCGGCACTCGGGTTACCGCGCGATTTCTTACCCATGGCTGGGTCAGCGAGAGCGTCACTACACTTAACTACCGTCTTTTCTATGTGCGAGCGGAATAGGAGCTTTTCATCAAACAACATCCCGAGATAAGTTACTTCTGTAGACCACTCGACCTTTGAGCCGTCCATGACTACTGTGCAGAAGGGTGCTGGTTTTAGATTGGGGGATTGCCTGTGCAGGAACATAATTGTCTGGGTTTTGGTGGCGGCATTGATTTTGATTTTCCACGTTTTCGTAGTCAGCAAAGGTGTCAAGGCATTGAAGTTTGTTGGTGATTTCATCTGCGAACACGCAAATCTGTTCTACCGTGATTTTATCCTCCGGGGAGACGACACAAGGGGAGGCATTTAAATTGTGGACACATTGCATCACCTGATTTTCGAGAGGACTTTGGACATTGGAGCCAATCGCATTGGCTTTCTCCTTCGGTGTTATGAGCCGAGCGTCATCATTTTCGAGTCTTACAGGTGGAACAGGTTTGGGATGAGACTTCAGAACCTTGGCTACCTTCCAAAATGGACTTGAACGGTCATCCAGATTTTGGACAACACGTCCGAAACTTTCATTCCGGAGTGAGTCCATTCTGGAAGCAATCTGCCTGGTCAGATCGACCGTTTACCGTTTTTTGTCCAGATCCCCAGTTCCTGATACTGGCGTCTATGAATATTTCTCAGGAGAATCATCATTTGGGTGTGGAAATCAATGGTAGTAAACGTAGCCCCTCACAGGAACTTGACGGACACATGTCTCGTCAGCCATCGATATGACCTGATGAAGGACTTCCAGCGCCCGGTCGATGTCATCTACGGTGTCAAGCGGCGGATTTTCGTCGATGTTTCTGTCCACTACACGTCCACCACCGGTTGGTGGTCTGAGCTAAGGTCGTTGTGTGCCACCGGTTTGGTTATACCGATGTTCGTCAGGAAGAAGTCCAGCGTGGAAGGGTTTCCGCGCCGGAGAGATGAAAGTTGGTTCATTTGAAAACTCCACTGTGTACAGCTCATGCTGCGAATGGTCAAACAGCTAACGACCGTTCGGGTTCCGCCAAGCCTCGTGACGGGCATTCAATTCATTCAGATCATTCTTAGATTTGGCTCCTAATCCGTTGCTGGCGGTACACTGTCGAGGGCAGTACACAACGATTAACCGGACGATTCCGGTTGGCGATTCAACCTCCACGCTGAGAGCTCCTATGATAGAGGTGCGGATGTGGGGCAGAGTGACGAACTTGATACCCTTTTTGATGACGACCTCAACACCACCACCCCTGGAGCTGGTGCGATCAAGCCGGATGATGGTGTGGTCAGGCAACCAGAAGCTGTCACCGGACTTATGGGGTGTTTACATCTGTGCGGATTTGCAAGCGCTTGTGTACTAGCGATCTAGCACGAACTTCAGTTGCTCCTGAAATCTCATACTGGTAGACGCTGATGCCCTGTTTACATTATGCTGGTGAGCTTTTTTGCTAGTAGCTGGCTCATTAGCGCTGGTGAAATAGCATAAGTGTAAACAACCTATTAAGGTGAGTCTCGGCAAGGAGCCCCACGTCGATGTTGTGCTTGCGGAGGAAATCGGCAAGTTCGATCTCTTTTGCTCGTACAGAGCAAGCATTCATTACTGGTGACGATAGTTAACGCGCGAGTACTAGTGCTCGTGCACTACAAAAATTGGCGCGAGTACTAAAAGGTTAAGAAGGAAAAAAATCCAACAAAAAGAAAACTCTTTCGGCTTATTTGTGTTGACATTTTTCGATTTTATTCATCCATTTTGTCTAGAATTATCTTAAATAGAGGTTCAGTAGTTTTGTTCTCTTGTTTGTTTTAAATTTAGCCTACATTTTTTTTTCATTTTCACCAAGACTGCGACCGGTTCCAACTAAGACATCCAACACACATCGTTCAAAATAAGGAGCGTCCTAGTTCATTTAATTTATTTTCTTTTCTTTTTTTCTTTAATACATTTGAGCTAATATGTGAAAAAGTGTTGATTTCCGTTCAAAGTCGGCCTAGTGCGGTTCCACTGTCACTGCGCTTTGTCTGTCTGTGTATTTTTTTCTCTCATCTGATTCCTCGCTCCCCACTCGACCAGCGAAGGAACGGGAGCCAGGGAGAAGGAACAAAATTTAGCCTGGAGCCGAAAAGCTTGTACATAAATTCCTCTTTTAAACACTATCGACTTGCTCCTCACGGGTTAAGTTTACGATCACATAAAATCTTTCTTTATTTTTATTTTTTTCGTTTTTCCGCTATCAGTTTACTGATATGACGTTCACTTCTCTACATTAGCAAAAATTGGCTGTTCGCGGAACGCAGAGAAAGCAGGCTCTCTGGCGATTTAAAGTTTCTGTTTTGCGTTCTTCAACATCAAATCATCGTTCTATCAATTAATTTTAACTGGATTACACTAAATTTCGATATCTATATGAGTGTATAAAAGAAAACAAATATATAATAGCGTTAAGATTAATCATGCATCTAAAAGTAGAGTAAAATTCGTGTTTATCGAACAAATGATTTACGTGCGATGTTGCTAAACACTTGCTTCTGCTTCTTCGGGGTCCTTACAAAAGATAGTCACACTTAAGCGTGATTAGAATGCGATGGAAATGAACGCAAAAAAAAATGGGCAGCATTTAGGGTACAAACATAAACAAGGATACAAGATCATATTAAGCTCGTGCGAGCTCTACTAGGTAAAAGATAGATTAATAAATATAGTAAAACGTGCGTGTTCGCTTAAAACGGAGCACTGCAAGCCGCTACCTTGCATCGCAATACTATGAATTATTGTTGTCGTCCTCCTGGACGCCGATAGCCACTGCCGTCACCAAGCCGCCCTCGGAACCTTCGAGTCCCGCCTCCGGGTTCTTGCTGGCCAGCTTAAGCCGTTCCTGTTCGTACTCGACAAAGTCATCGAATAAGCTGGGCCACGCTTCGGTGTCATCGTACTGTGTAATATCACAGGTCTCAACAAAGTTCAGAAACATGTTCCAGGTATCCTTCGGGACGCCTCGGATGTTCTGGTGCTGCTCGAGAAAGTGCAACCACCGCGGTAGAATGTCCGGCGTGTGAACCGTAAACACCAGACGCCACAGACTGATGGCCATGTCAAGCGAAAGGATCCGATGGCCCGGCTCCAGTCCGAACCGGAATGTGAATCTGTATAGCAGCTTAAAGTCCTCGGAGTCGGTTTTGAGCTTTTCCATAATCTGCTCCAGCCGGAGCTTGATGTCGTCGATGCTGGCAGCGTTCATCTGCTGTAGGCCCTGGATGAATTCCGACTTGGTGAACTGACACATCTGGGACGCGTCCAGACGCCACGCCAGCACCAGGATGGCAAAGTCGTCCGGCTTATAACCTAGATCACAGCACAGCCGCTCGATGCCCTCCGATAGGATCGCGTCCTCCTGGCTGTCCTTGTACTCCTCGAACAGCTTGTTCAGATCGTTGTCGGAAATTTGCGTCGCGAGATCTTTTCCTGGGGGGTTGGAAGGGAGGAAATTTAGTGAACGCTTGAATCTGGATAAATGTTCCCCATTTTCGTACCCTTCTACAGGGGACGGTTCTAAGTATGTACTGTTAGAATTGATGAAAAAATTACAAGGGACAGCCCTATGGGGTTGTACGCAATGGTGACGTAGGACTACGTGGTCTTACATATATAATAAATGTTATTTGTTAACTGCCACAGGAGCCTGTGTTTTGTGTACGAATAGGAATTTGAGCGGGGTTCTCTCTCTTTGTATTCTTTAGTATGGCTAAAGTAGGGATGAATACCAAACACCGTTTAAAACTGTAAGTTGCGCTCTAAGAGTTGCAATTTCATTTTTTGACAGTTTCAAATTTTAGAACTGTCGAGTAGTTTGAAACAATTTTGAAACTCACCATTGTGAAAGGCCGTAGGAATCAAGAGAATCGAGAAAAGAAAATCAATAGTATTTATTTTATAAGAGAAATATTAGAATGTTGAGGAGAAAATATAAATGGTTGTCCAAGTTTATTTTTCAAGAAGATTTAAAAAAAAAATTGTGGTAGCTTGAGAACCTCTCCAATGAAATATGAGATTCATGGAGTTCTGAGATAATTCAGACATAGACATTTTTTCAAGACATAAAAATGTGTTCAGAATATAAAATATGAGAAATTTTCGAGATTAAGAGACGTTGACAAATTTTTAACCCCCTCTTTGCGACACTTGGCTAAGTTCTCAACATAATCGAATAGAAAAGGCAGTGCCAATCTTGGATAACAAAAAAATTCGCTCTTTCACTGGTGGTTGCCAAACAAGGAGATGGCACCCATTCCAAGTAACATTGTAAGTTTTATTGAAGCTTTAAAGCATTCTACAAGTCTAAAGTCATGGTCTACAGAACCCTCATAAAACACAAATTGTTACTAGGGATATCTCTACTAATAAACTGGGACGGGACTTGACAATCAAGCTTCTCATTCATCTTAACGTTTTTGAAGAATACCCTTTGGAAAGTTGTGCGTGGTATTTAACGGAGTTGACCAATGATGCCAGGAATGTAAAATATTTTTTTCTATTTCATTCTATTATTTGGATTTTATTCGGAGTTTCTACCACAGTTTAGCAGCTTGTACATCATTTTGCTCAACACAATGAAAACAACCATGAACAAACCTCAATATCCATCGCTTAAAACATGTAGTGCACTCAATTTTTCAGCTTCTCTTTCGCAAATATAAACAATTAACAATGCCACTGACGTCAACATTGATTCCGGCATCACTGCCAGCCAGATTGATGCGATCCCAATGTCCTTTTTATTCCACGATGGCTACTGTCAAATTTACCATTTGACCGGATTTGACAGCAAATGGCTCGAAATCGCAACCCGATTGTCAAGTCCCGTCCCAGCTAATAACAAGTAACCATAGCGAGCATAGCTGAGGGCTCACACTCTGGGCCTGCTTAAGGTCCGTTTAGACAATATGATTTATTGGTCTGATTTTGACTTTGTCAAACCCCCTGTTTGCTGCTGTTCACACTCCTTCCATAATGAATTATCTAAAAATTGCTCTAACATCGGCAGGCTTACCTTACCAATCAAGCTAAGGCCTTGTTGTCCTCTGCTGTCCGAAGAAGTCGTCTCCACTCTACTCGATCCATGGCCACCCTTCGCCAGCTTCGTAGTCTGCGAAGGGTCCGCAGGTCGCCTACTACTTGGTCGATCCACCTTGCCCGCTGCGCGCCTCTTCTTCTTGTTCCTGTTGGGTCGCTTTCTAGAACCATTTTCACTGGGTCTTCGTGCGGCATTCATACGACGTGCCCAGCCCACTGTAGTCGCCCAATTTTTGCAATATGGACGATGGATGGTTCTCCCAGCAGCTGGTGCAATTCGTGGTTCATTCGCCTCTTCCACGTTCCGTCATCCATCTGCACTCCACCGTAGATGGTACGCAACACCTTCCGTTCGAAAACACCAAGGGCGCGTTGGTCCTCCATGAGCATAGTCCAGGTCTCGTGGCCGTAGAGGACCACCGGTCTAATCAGCGTCTTGTAGACAGTCAACTTCGTGCGGCGGCGAATTTTATTCGACCGGAGCGTCCTCCGGAGTCCAGAGTAGGCACGATTCCCTGGCATAATGCGTCTTTGAATTTCTCTGCTGGTATCATTTTCGGCGGTCACCAGTGAGCCCAAATACACGAACTCATCGACCGATTTCGTCACCGACAATCTAAACTCGGGGTGCGAGGCTAACATTGTCTTCCCTAGAACCTCTTCCTTTCATGTATTTTGTCTTTGATGCGTTTATGGCAAGTCCAATCCGCCTAGCATCAGCCTTCAGTCTGATGTACGTTTCCGCCATCGTCTCAAAGCTCCGTGCCATGATGTCAATGTCATCGGCGAAGCCAAGAAGCTGGATGGACTTCCTGAAGATCGTGCCACTCGTGTCTATTCCAGCTCTTCTGATCACACCTTCTAACGCGATGTTGAATAGCAGACACGAAAGTCCATCACCTTGCCGTAACCCCCTTCGAGATTTAAAGGGACTCGAGAATGTTCCCGATACTCGAACAACGCACATCACTCGATCCATCGTCGCCTTGACCAATCGCTTCAGTTTATCCGGAAATCCGTACTCGTGCATAATCTGCCATAGCTGATCTCGATCGATTGTGTCGTATGCGGATTTGAAATCGATGAACAAATGATGCGTGGGCACCTCTGTTCGTGGCATTTCTGCAAGCACCCATGAATCCCGCCTGGTATTGCCCCACGAACTCTCTTGCAAATGGTGACAGGCGGCGGCATAGAATTTGGGAGAGTACCTTGTAGGCGGCGCTCAGCAATACGATCGCGCGGTAGTTGCAGCAATCCAACTTGTCGCCCTTTTTGTAGATTGGGCATACGACAGCTTCCATCCACTCCTCCCGTAATATCTCCTCCTCCCAAATTTTGGCAATTACCAAGTGCAGTGCTCTAGCCAGTGCTTCACCACCGTATTTTAATAGCTCACTTGGTAGTTGATCTACACCAGTTGCTTTGTTGTTCTTCAGCCGACCGATCTCATCCTCAACTTCTTGAAGATCAGAGGCCGGTAGCCTGTCGTTTTCTGCGCGTGCTCCAAGGTATGTTGCTGTGCCACCTTCGTTTTCTGCAGCTTCACCGTTGAGGTGCTCGTCATAGTACTGCTTCCACCTCTCAATCACCTCGCACTCGTTCGTGAAAAGGTTACCGTCCAAGTCCTTGCACATATCGGCTTGCGGCACGTAGCCTTTGCGCGAACTATTTAGCTTCTCGTAGAACTTCCGTGTGTCGTTTACGCGGTACAGATTTTCAATCGTCTCTCGATCTCAGTCTTCCTGCTGACGCTTCTTCCTTCGGAATACCAAGTTTTGTTTGTTCCGCGCTTGTCTGTATCGCTCAACATTCAATCTCGGCAGGCGTATTTGCTTATATTATTTTAAATAAAATGAGAAGTAGGAAATTGTTGCTCTAAAGGAACACCGGCAGGGATCTGGCTTATCTTATCTTATCTTGTCTCCCACCCAGAAGTGCGATTTGAAGGCGAAAAAGGATTTCAAAACTTCACCAGGATGTCGATACCAACATTCGACAAGCTAGGGGAAAAGTTTTCGATAGATCTACATGATTCCTTGAGTTCGGAACATTCCTGTTAAGAACTCAATCCTGCATATTTCTCTGAAAACCTTTGGAGGTCCCTGAAATTTGGTTTCTGTTCTCTGGTTAAATATCTTTGAAGATCAACAAACTTTCCTGAAGATCAGCAAATTTCTCGGTTGTTCTGCAGATTTCTTTGAGGTTCTATGTGTTCATGAGAAGTTCTGCAAATTTCTCTAACAATCTACAAAGTTCCTGAATCGATGCAGATTTAAGATCCTTAAACATCAACAATTATCTCTGATGTTCACTAAATTTCTTATAATCTACGAACTTCTCGAACGTTCGGTTATTCTATCTCTTGATTTTCATGATTCAATGAATATGTGTAAATATCTCTGAACATCAACACAATTCCCTACAAAATAAAAAAATAAATATCTAGAATTTTTTGAGCTTTCCGGAAGTTTAAGAAAGTTCTCTGAAGATCTACTAATCTTTCGGAAGTTGTGCAAATATCTTTAAAGATCAGCGAACGTCCCAGAAGTTCTTTAAATTTATCTCAAAATCCTAGAACCTCAATAAAATTCTGAAAATGTATTTAAAAATCTGCAGATTTTTCAGTAGATTTAAGATCTACCCTTTGAATTTTTCTGAAGTTTCAAAAATTTCATTAAAATTCTGTTAATTTTTCTGAAGTCCTGTATGTCTGCTCTGAAGATCTATGAACTGCCCTGAAGTTCAATAAATTTCTCAGTAGATCTTCGAACTTCTCTTAAGTTCTGTAAATTTATTTGTGGATTCTTGGACTTCCATAAAGTTCTGCAGGTTTCTCTGAAATTATTTGAAATTCCCCAAGCTCTACAAATTATTTTTAATTCGCTGAAGTTTTAAAAATTTCTCTGAACTAGTTTTTCTGAAGTTATGCTATTTTTTCTCCTTAAAATGTACGAAATTACTGAAGCTCTACAGAATTCTCTTAAGGTCTACGGACTCCTCTGAAGTTATTCAGATCTATCTATTTCCAACTTACAGGGCTTGGATTTGTTTTTGAAACTGTAGAATTTTTATGAATCTTTCTGAAGATCTCAATTTTTTCTAAAACTGTGAAGCTTTCTGAACCACTAAATGAAGTTCTGCAAATACCTTTAAAGTTCTGTAAAGTTGTCTGAAGCTCCGTAGTTCTATTCTCAAGTTCTACGAATTACACTGATGCTCAATCAATTTTTCAATAGATCTGAAGAGTTCTCTGAAGTTTTGTAAATTCCTCTGTAGGCTCTCGGGCTGCCCTGAAGATCAGAACATTTCTCTGAAGATCTTCGAAATTACCTAAAGTTCTCCAAATTTATCTTAAAACATATGAAGTAACAAGTTTCCCTGAAATCGTATAAATATTTTATCAAAAATCGCCGAACTTCCCTGAAGTTCTGCAAATTTCACTGAAGATCCATTAAAATTTCTGAGATTTTAAAAACGTATCAGAAAATCTGCACACTTTCTTGAAGGCCTTTAAATTTACCTGAAGATCTATGCCCATTCTTAAGATTTTTTGCAAAAGTTCTGTAATTTTTTTTTTTTTTTCAAAGTTCTGTAGCTTTATTTTGAATATCTACGGACTTTTATGATATTCTACAATTGTTCAGTAGATCTCCAAACTTCTGTGAAATTCTTTACATTTACTGTAGATTTTTGGACTTGTCTGAAGTTCTGCGAATTTCTTTAAAATTATGTAAAAAATTTTGAAGTTTTGTAGTGCTGTTCTCAAGATCTACGAACTACCCTGAAGCTCAAAAAATTTCTTATTACATCTCTGAACCTCTCTGATGCTCTAAAAAAATCTTAGTAGGCTCTCAGAACCAAGAAATGAGATCTTCATTCTTTTATTTAACGTCGGTCTCTGTTCCGCAATCTAGTGCCAATCACCGACGGACATTGATTGCCATCAATTGACGGCAATCGAATGTGCTTCCACACCTGCGTAGGATATCGCACCCATTCAACACACATATGGGCCGGGACCAACGGCTTTACTTCCCTTCCGAAGGAAGACGTGACCAGATGCCTCAGAAAAATCTCACCGACCTCGGCTAAGACCCATTGGGGTGAGAAAGCAGTCACGCTTACCACTACACCACTGGCGCCGGCTCAAGAAATCAGATAGTCTAAATGGACCTTTAGATTGATATGTGATCACGTTTTTATGCTGGCAACAAAAAGATGGCGGTGTGTCAGGCGCTTGTTGTCAAAACATTTCTGCATATTTCAGCCTTCAAAATAAAAACAATATATGTACAAATACAGTACCGCAAATCGGGGTGAAGTGATCAAATATGCAACTTTTAACTGTTCCTAAACATCTTATCAGAATCAGCAATTATTCTAGTGCTGTGTACGGTGAAATTACTTATTTGACTTAATGTAGAGTCAAATCTTAAATCAGAGTTAGTTCACATGAACAGTTTCGTATCATAAAAATTATTTTATGTGAAAAACTAAAAAACTACATCTAGGCTTATTTTTAATTGTTTTGTAGTTTTTTCGTAACCTTGTTCGATTTTGAACACCAATCAAGTAGACATGCTATCTTCTGAATATTGTATTGCATATAAGCCTGCATGATCAACTTCACCCCAGAATTGATAATTTGCATTTTTTTTTATCCAATTCTAATTCCAAAAAGTTAATTTTTTGGAACTAAAATTGGATTAAAAATGCAATTTCAAAACTAAATTCGTACATTAGAAAAGTATTTACTAAGTACATGTTTGAGAGGTATTTGTTTGTGTGTCAAACATTTCCAACTTCCCCACGATTTACGGCATAATAAAGTAATTGCGTGCTAATTCTTCACATACAATTTGAAAATCGAAACTTCTTAAGCAATTATGCAAAGAAGTGATGATTTTAACGGGCCAACAAAGGTTTACCTTGCTCATTTGGTAGTGATTTTGGACTTCAAAGTTTCTTTTCAAAATCCATCGATTTCCCCCCAGCATTTCACAAAAACTTACTTCACTAAATTGCAAAACTTACCGGGCAAACTGCTACCGTCCGGCAACGCGTTCAAGTTGCCATTAAGTAATCCGATCGTCTTCTTAAAACTACCGCTCTTTCTCTCCGAGCCCAACGACGTCATTCGTATGGGACTGGCGGCCAGCAGATCGTCCGTTTCTACCAATAGAACTTCAAATTAGTTACAAACATACAGTTCACTTCGCCCCGCCCCATCTACTACCATTAACTGTCGCTTCGGGATCCGTGATGGCCGTTTCCGGCCCAAGTACCACCCCGTCCGAAGCAACGTTATTGACCGTCGCATTCGGCGGTGACTTGAAACACGTCAGACAGCTTCCCATTGCGTCTGTGTGTCCTGTCCTGTAAACTCTTCGCTACACCCTTCTTCTCCCGTTCCACCCCTTTCGGTTCAACCGGAAGGGCGCTCCTCCTTATTATCTCCTAAGCCAAATTGCACAAACTGTCCGGTAGTAACGGTAGGAGTAACCTTCGGCACTCATTGTCTTGTGTGGCACTCCAGTGGTGTCCTCTGCGGATGCGGCGGTCGATCGACATTGGACCATTAGCGCTTGGACCGCAGCCGTGCAGCAGGGACCATGTTGTTGCAACTCTGGTGTTGGCACAGTGCGGAATTGCTGTGATTGGCACTTGAACAGTTATGATGGATTAAGGTTTCGTTCTTTTTTCTTCTTTCTGCTTTGTTGTTGTTGTTTCTTGCTCTTGCCTCCACCGTACGGTACCTAAAAAAAAAGAGGAAAGCCTCAGAATGTTAACATTGTTGTTGTTATTTTTATTTCTTCTATGCTCGTCGTCTTTGCTCTTGTTCGTCTCTTTTCTAGCTTCTGAGTCATTGACACCTTCGACGGGCCACTTTCTAATATGCAGCGAATTTACATCGAGTTTGGGCAATTCGCCTTTCAGCGGTTCAAAGGGGAACCGATAAGAGGGGCCAGCGAAGTGGTAAACAATCAAAATATGGAAAATATTTATTTTCTCGAGCCCTTGAAAACAGGATCGTACTTGCATATACTGGTTTGACAGATGTTACAGCTCGAACTATATTCAAAATGATGAAACAGTTTCAAAGTTTTACTTGATTTATACACACAAATTCAAATCATTCGTATATTAACAGTGTAAATAAGAAACTGTGCAGAAACTAGATCAAATGTCCACCAAATAATCACAAAATTTTCACTCTACCTTCCTGTCAAATGTACCAGCTTCCCCAAAAAAATCACCACTTCTTCTGTATATTCTCTTCGATTTTGCGACTGATGCAGACACTTACTTCTTCTTGCTCCGCTTCTCCGCTCGGTTTCTTTCTTTACCACCCAACTGTGGCTATTTAGCTTCTCAGTCCATGGGTTAAATTATTGCGATGATTATATTGTTTGAGGTATGATCGCACTCTGACAGGACTGAACTGACAGATGACAGGCGCTACCTTACCTCTTCGTGAGTGCGGTCTAGTTGTGCGAGGTAGGGCCAAGCCTGCTGCGAGAGACGAATATATTATTGTATACATAGAGGCCATGTTCATGCGGTTAAGGCGCACGTGGTGTTGGTGTGATGGTGAAAAGAAAGAAAATGTTACCTGACGTCACAGTTGACCGTATGGTTGGGTATAAGGAATTCGAACGAGGGGGTAACCAAAGTCGAGCAAAGTTCAACCTGAATGCGGAAGAAAAATATTAGCGATGTACACCGAAAAAAATTCTGAATTTTAACTATCGCGTGAAATCTCCCTTCGTTTAATTTTGAGCTACACTTGTCATAAACAGCGAAATCGCTGACAAGCTTGCATACAATATTACTAATTTATGCGATATTCCGCTTAAATTTACACGAAATATCTCGTAAATTTATGCCAAATCTAGCGTTAATTTTATGTGCACTATATCTTGCAGAAATTTACATGGATTTTACGAACGGTGTAGCAACAAATATGGACATCTTGCGAGCTTGTTTTTGGCGTTCTTTCTAACGAGCCGTACTTCTTTGAGTTGCTTGCACACAGAAAAAAAGTTGTTGAATATTACATCCAAACTGCTGCAACCAGGGCAATCCATCGGTTGTGTAATAAAACGTTGTACGATGTACATCGATTTTGCGGACAATATTACATCCATTGATGTAATATTGTATCTGCTTTTTGCTATTACATCATTATTTCATACATCAGCTTGAATTACATTGATCGATATTACATTTTTCTTTGCTGTGTACTGGGTGTTCATTTTGACAAGCAACTCTAAACAGCTTGAAGAAGGTGGACTGTTGTTTGTTGACAAAAATCACGAGAAAGTACGAGCAACTTCAAGCGAGCATGAACTGATGAACTTGATCTACCCTGTGATTGAAACTTCACAATAATTACACCACCATTTTGACGCCATACTATGTAGACTATGTTTAACATTAAATTTGAATGTTGGCGAGATGGACCAGTCATAGTCTTAGCCTGTCTGAAAAGACAAATCCAAAAAAAAAAAAATTTGAATGTACCCCACTTGTGGGGTTGGATGATAAACGATCGACTCTGACTCCTCTGATTTAAAATTAACTGATTCCGACTCTTTATTCCGACTCCGACTCTTCGACTCCGCTTCAAACAAAATACAATTATTTCTAAAAAATGGCGGCTACAAATTAGAAACTAAAATTTCAATTGAATTCCTTATGGGTTTTAAGGTAATTGAATATTCGTTATCTGCATCACAAATGGAACCGAAATCCACAATTTCATCAATTTAGGAGTACTGGAACTATTTTAAATAAATGTGCTTACTTAAGCAAAAATCACCATCTTAGCGCTCCTCGGTGATACTTTGTATGGGAGTGAGCTGTCAATTTGTTAGTTTTGTGTCAAACAGTGAAGTGACTAGTTTGCTTTAAATCTTGATTTAAAAATCAAGATAGAAGTACATGGGATCGGAAACAAAATGGAGCGGGCAGAATTAGAAAAAAAAACAAAATTTTAAGTCAGACGATTTTGTGAAGACAAGTAAAGTAATAGATATATTTTGTTGTTTCCCTTTTTGCGCATAGGGAAATATGTACAAGCACCGAAGGAACAAGTGGACGCACAGGATTCACAAGATTTACTTAGAGAGTTGGCATGTGGACGCTCCATTAATATTATTATTATTTTTACTGTCATAGGTAGGGTTAACTACCCCATTTCAGGCCTATTAAGCACAACCCGCACTTAAAGCTTGCTTCATTTAGAATTGGAACAAACTTTTGCTCATATTGTGGTGCTCCTGGTGGACGGATTTGGAAGTTCTTGGCGCCCACGTGTCGGGAATTTTGTCAGCTTTACGTATGTATTTTTGACATTCCGCAAATCGACTGTACTTTGTAAAGAATCAACATGGAAGCCGAAAGAAGGGAAAAAATGGTGCACAGTTATTTGGAAAATCCATTGTGGTCTGCATCTAGGCTAGCTAAACAGCTGAAATTGCCCAGAAATACCGTATGGCGCGTTATCAAACGGTATAAGGAAACATTGACGACAATTCGGAAGCCTCAAGCCAATCGTCGGAGTGGAACTGTCGACCGGAAACTGCGTGGTAAGATTTTGAAGACGATTAAGAGGAATCCCAATCTGTCGGACCGTGATTTGGCCAGAAATTTCGGTGCTGCCCATAGTACCGTGAGAAGAACTCGACTCCGGGAAGGAATCAAGTCGTATCGAGCTAGCAAACAGCCAAATCGGACCTTAACACAGAATAGTCTGGCCAAAATCCGTGCGCGGAAGCTATACGACCAGGTGCTGACCAAGTTCAACGGGTGTCTTCTGATGGACGATGAAACCTATGTCAAGGCTGACTTCGGGTAAATCCCAGGTCAAAAATTTTACTTGGCAACGGCTCGGGGGGATGTTCCAGCCAAATTTAAATTTGTTTTTACCGACAAATTTGCACGAAAATTTATGATTTGGCAAGGCATTTGCAGCTGTGGCAAAAAAACGAAAGTTTTCGTTACAAATAAGACAATGACGTCGGAACTATACCAAAAAGAGTGTCTCCAAAAACGAATTTTGCCGTTCATTCGATCCCACGACCATCCCGTAATGTTTTGGCCAGATTTGGCAAGCTGTCATTACAGCAAAGTCGTTCAAGAATGGTATGCAGAGAAAGGGGTCCAGTTTGTTCCGAAAAACCTTAACCCACCCAACTGCCCCCAGTTCCGCCCTATTGAGAAATACTGGGCAATCATGAAGAGGAGACTCAAGGCAAAGGGAAAGGTTGTCAAAGACATCAATCAGATGAAGACCTGGTGGAATAAGATAGCTAAAACGATGGACGAAGAAGGTGTGCGCCGCCTAATGAGCCGTGTTACAGGAAAAATTCAAGAATTCCTTCGAAACCGTGACGAATAATTTTATCCGTATTTTTTCTTAAAAGTATGAAGAAAACGCTACATTTGTATAAAAAAAAAGATCTTGAATTCAATAATAAATAACTGAAATACAGGCAATTGTTTTTGTTCCAATTCTATCTGAAGCAAGCTTTACTCTTTCTTAACCTAGCGCAGTTTAGCTCCAAACGGAATGTTATTATTACTGATGGCTTCCAAATTCATTTACCTTTCCGTACGATCCAGATTTGATAAAGAGAAACCAATCGTTGAGATATTGTCAAAAGTCTAACACTGCTTCTTGACGCCAAACGCATTGATAGATAGGCCTAAAATAGGCGATTAGGCCGAAGTAGTTCTCTACCCTATAAGAAATAACTTCGAATGTACCGTTTTTAAAGGTGAAAGCCGGGCAACGTCTGCTCGAGATTTTCAAAAACACGGAATCTCATGTTGAAGCTCCAAATCCCGATTCAATTCCATTTTCTTCTATGTATCGTCTGAAGACCTATTTTGGTTCTGGGTCGGATGAAATGCTGATGAGACGTAGACTAGCACTGTTGACACAGAATACTGATGAGTCTGATCTAAATTTCATTACAAGAGTTGAGAACCACAGCTTTCAAAATGCTCAGTCGTAAGGCTAACTTCACGGATCTTGGAGATAAAATACGTGAAATAGATGCGATCAGGCTCAACGAAGAATTTGTTATGCAGAAACATGGAAAGCAGACACAGGCGTTGATTGCACCAGTCCACAGTGGTTTGAATGCTCAATATCACGAACTTTTTTATTTGCGCCTTCATTGTCGGTTTTTTCACTATGATGTCTTTAAAAGAGTTTTTGCATAAAATAAGGCGCAAAGACTAGTGATAGGTTTTAGTTCGGAACTCCACCACAGGCGGCGCTGAAAAATCTAACTTTTTACATTTACAAGATAGGTATGTGGTGTCTTGAGCAAAGTTGTAGATAATTTTACTACAAAAATCTTTGCTGAACACACAAAACCTCTATATTCCTCAGTTTTTGAGATACGTAGCGTTTAATATGACTGTTTAACAAAATTTAATTTTTTTCACTTTTTATAACATATTTAAAAAACTATAGGTTTTAGAAGAGTATAATGTTCAACAAATATTTTTATTTTATTACAATACAAAACTTTGTCAAAGACGTCCAAAAGGTATCGATTACACATACTGAGTTATTCACAAATTTAGTAATTTTTTTTACATATTTTGTGCCCTCACAGACAAAAATCCGGCAAAATCCGGCAGGTGAATCTTGAATAGGATGAAAGCTTGTTCAAAAGTGATCTCAAATTCCATTGAAACATTTGTCCTTTTTAGTATCCTCGTTGATTATTTTGCATTT